TGCCGCTCTGATGGCATTAATGACACTTAAATGTACTAAAAGTGGAGAAACTTTTTCACACAATCGAAATTTCTTTTCTAAAAAAACTTTGTAAAGCAATTAAAAATAATAAACAAAAAAAATAGGTCATCCTTGATAAACATTATCATGTTGTTTTCATATTGTATCCCTTTAATACTATACGTATGTTTACTTGCATCTACCAAACTGTGTTTATCTTCATTTCTATTTTGCATGTCATTCTCTGTAACTATGATTTAATGATATTTAGAGAATATAGTATTGACGTTGTTGGTGGTTGGATTATCCCAATTATCGTTACAATGAATTCAGTTTCTTTGTTGGTTGGAATTCAATGCCACTTTCATCGATGTTGGCTATAGCATGGTGGCCAGTTTTTAAGGCTCAGGAAGCCGAAATCAACGGAGAAAACCACCGAACTTCGGCAGAAAGACTGGCAAGCCTAATCAATAAAGATCAGAATCGAACACACCGCGCCATGAACGAGGTTCGAACTCAAACATTCAGAGTTAACAGAATAGTGATTAATGTAGATGATCAATGTAGATGAACTAATTCACTTAGACCACTCGCCCTTCGAGGCCTTAACTGACTTCATCAGAAGCATTTTATTTATATATTCAACTTTAAATAACCTAATGGATGGAAACTCAAGGGCACAAAAATATAAACGTATATAATGCAAAGATGGCGTATAATTAAAGAACATTCTATAACATTTGTTATGAGAGTGCACAGTACCGACCAAGGGACTACATAAGATAGAAACGTCTGAATACAGTTTTCTCCACTCTTTGTTATGATTAACTAAATATCAACTTTTTGTGTTTTACAACATTTTCAGCACTATTGGTTATTTTGTGGCGTTCAGTTTTCTTTGGTGGAGAAAACCAGAGTGCCAGGACAAAACCGCCGGTCTTCGGTTAGAAAACTGACAATCCTAGTCAAGAGTCGAATTCACCTGCCGCGTGCGAGATTCAAATTCATCCGTAAAATCCAATTTGCAATACATCTGTTGGTCACCTTTCAAAAACATGGTGATTTTTTTTCAATTGATACAGTAGAACTCAATGGCAAATACATATAGGCACTTCGTTTAATCTGCACTAAATTTCATTTTTAGATTGTAACAGAAAATAAAAAAAGTAAAAAAAAAATGGCTAACCCTTGAACATGTATTGTTAGGTTTACACCGGTATTTATTATTTATTTCGATGCGCCACACAAAAATGTACAACTGGGCACTCTTCCTGATATTTCAGTTTGGAAGTTTGGATTTATTGCTCAAAGGTTGTTAACAGTGCATGATAAACTTTATGGCCTTTAAAGTAATTATCAAGATCGTGAAATAGGAACCGCACAAAATAAAACAAGCAATTAAAACCATTTATATAGGTGAGTACAATTAATATTATGGAATCTAAAACATGAATAGTAATTACATACGTCTAAAAAGATTACAACACACCAAAAATCAAAAAATATTTCGAATAAAACATATCCTTTGTCAGAATGAGTTGCCTGATGCAAAATGGAAATATCTACCTAACCACCAACAAATGTTATTCAACGTGTTTGGATTACAATGAAAGATATTCACATAGAACATGTATACTTGATAAATCTCTGGTCTCAAAATTACTCCGTTATTCTCTGCTTTCAAAATATTCCCCAAAATGCTTTAATTCTGAGTGCTCGTATTTCACCAAAAATGGATTTCTAGGTAGGACATACTATTATTAATTGTGTCTCGTGGACTCCTTTTTTCTTAATATGTCTGTTAGTCACCTTAAAAACACGGGTTTATAAGAATGGCATCTTTGATGGATTTTATTTTAAATTGATACAGAAGAACTCAATGGAAATAACATGTAAGCACTTGATTTATTCTGCACTAGATTTCATGTTAAGCTTGTATATGTTGTAACAAAAATTAAAAATTAGAATAAAATTGGATAACACAGGGACGCTTACACCAAATTTTATCATTTCTTTCGATGCTCCACACAAAAATATACAACTGGCACTCTTCCTGATATTTCAGTTTAATAGTTTTGATTTATTGCTCGAAGGTTGTTAACAGTGCATGATTACCTTTATGGTCTTTATGGTAATTATCAAGATCGTGAAATAGGGAGCGCACAAAATAAAACAAGCGATTGAAACCATTCGTATAAGTGTGTACAATTAATATTATGGAATCTAAAAAAATTAATAGTAATGATATACGTCTTAAAAGCATACGACATCACCAAAAATCAATAAATATTTCAGATAAAAAATATCCTTCATCAGAATGAGTAGCCTCATTAAAAAAGGGGACTAATAGTCATTTATTTCTCATATATAATAGTTTCTATCAACGCTATCATTTTTTTTATCAACACCACAAAATATTATGCAATGCAAAGATGTGCAAACAACTGTTCCCTTGTCTTAGGTTTTATACACTTTCATAACGTTTAGCACTGGTATACATTCTAGTTAAAATTCTTGAATCAAAAATTAATTATGATTTACACATACGGTTTCATAAAGCTCTCGGGAAAACAGGCCATATCGGGCTAACAATTTGGATGTTCACCTCATGTGAGGGCAATACTTGCTACATTTGGAAAAAATTACATTACATGTATGTTTCACAAGAATTCGTTAGTTTGATTGGCTAACAACAATCGCGATTCATTCAAAACTTAACCTTCAAATCAAAATGGAATATTACATTCGTGATTACACGTGCTTCTACAAAAAAGTGCACAAGTAAATAAAATAAAAACTTGGTAAAACTTTTTGTCCATGGTCTTATTAGCATACTAATGTAGTCATAAGAAGTGCATGCTTCTTTTTGTAACTTTATTGGGGTGTAAAAGTGTTGATCGTGCACACATTTTTAGAATGAAGCGCTTCCGCGTTTCATACAAAATGTGTTTCGGTCAACACTTTTAAATCCCAATAAAATTACAAAAAGAAGCATTCATTTCTTAAATACATTTTAATTGAGAATGGTATATATAAATAAAAAAAGAGAATAGCGGACCTCAAGAAAATAACCTTAATACTTTTGGAGATAAACTTTTGATGAAGGTCATATGATTGTATATTTATAAACGTCTAAAAAGTGTATAACAACACAAAAAGTTAAAAGATATTACAGATAACAATTATCCTTTATCAGTATATATTGCCGATGCAAAATGACATCGTTAAATTGGTGAAAATTATAAATTATTAAAACTATAACCTTGTGCGTAATGTTGACATAAATGCTGATCGTTTATTGCCTAAAACGAATCATTTGAGTACGTCACTTGCATTCAAACAATAATTGCAATTTAGGTGTATATAATAGAATAAAATAATAAGCTCAACCACTTAATTAGTCAAAATAATGTTCATACATTGTTCGTGTACCTTGTGCATATGATAATTCTTAAAATCGCAAATAAATTACAGATGGGTGCGGTCCTAACCTTTACAGCTAGTTAACTTAATAAGCAGACTTTATGACTGGTTAAAGTTAACTTAGGACAGGTTTTATGACTGCTGTGACCGGTCCTAGGACAGAATTTGCGTTAACTTTAAAAGCAGACTTGGTCCTAGGACTGTTTAATGATTGCTCGAAAAGTTAACTTCAGGACAGGTCCATGGCCAGTATTGAAGTTAACCTTGGACGAAGTTAACTTTGCCACAAGCAGTCCTACACACATGTTAACTTATGACCAGGTCTGCTATCAAAAGTCAAACTAGACCTGTTCTTATAAAAGTTAACTTTAATTTGGTCCATGATAAAGTTAACATGATCCAAAGTTAACTTTGGTCTGGTCTGCTCCTCTAAGATAAAGTTAACTTGATCCCAAGTTAACTTTGGTCTGGTCTGCTCCTCCAAGATAAAGCTAACATGATCCAAGGTTAACTTGTAAACAGGACTGCTTTGATTGATGAATGTTATATGAGTATCGACTTCCGATCATTGAAAATCATACGATCTTTGTCTTTTTTATGTGAAAACAAATATCAACTATGCCTACAGTAAAATCTGTTAAATAGCAAACTTGTCCACAGGTCTAGTCAGGTCAAGCAGACTTGTCCACAGGTCTGGTCTGGTCAAATAGACCTGTCCACAGGTCTGGTCTGGTCAAGCAGACCTGCCCACAGGTCTGGTATGGTCCGGTCAAGCAGACCGTTCCACAGGTCTTGTCTTGTCAAGCAGACCTGTCCACAGGTCTGGTCTGGTCAAACAGACCTGTCCACATATCTAGTCTGGTCAAGCTGACCTGTCAACAGGTCTGGTCTGGTCCAGCTGACCTGACCTGGGAACAGGTCTGCTCTTTCAAACTTTTCCTCAAGACTGGTCTGCAGCAGTCCTAAAAAAGCAGACATGAGGTCTGGTCTGCTAGGGATAAAGTTAACTTACAGGTCTGCTAACATGTTCCCAAGTTAACCTATAGAGCAGTCGTAAGGACTGCTTTAAGTTAACTTGTGTACAGGTTAGGACTGCATCCATCTGTATTATCCAATGGTATGCATAGATAATGATTATGGAAGTTCGTGTTTAGTTTTACTTTAAGATTTCGAAATGATTACATTTACATATTTTATTTAAAGAATCTGTAAAAAATATACTGACCGTACTTTGACCTATACTGGTTTACTTTTATAAATTTTGACTTGGATGGAGAGTTGTCTCATAGGCACTCATACCACATCTTCTTATATCTATTGAATGCTGTGTTTGATTTTTGTTTTAAATTGTAATAAATGAATGGAAGTAGCGATCACTCTTTTAGCTAGAAGCACTTTCGCGGTTCATGCAAAATTTGATTATAATCATTTCGTATAAATAATAAAAAAAAAACACACAGCAGGAACTTCTATAAGTAAAGACAGACAAATCTAGGTTCAACAACAAGTAGGGGTAACTTTTAACCACCAAAAGGTGTCCAGTTGAGAACGATACACGTTTAAATTGCTTAAAACTTGAAATATGGATTTTTATCCATAAAATGATATCATCTATTCTGAACGTTCTTCTGGTTTTGAAGCATCAGTTTTTCCTTTTTTTTTTCAATTTAGGTTTCATGAATTCCACAATTGACATCAAATCTATGATAACGACGCCCAATATGACGGAAACAATGAAGACTATTCCAAGAATGCCAATGGACTGAGAAGACTTTCTCTCATCTTTTGCACTTATCCTTTTATTAATCGTTGCCGACAAGTTAGATTTGTCAACGGACAATTCTTTCTCCACTTTTGCCAGTTGAGGAGCCAACATTTCGAGAAGTTCATCTATTGTATAGTTGGATAGATCTTGCCTTGCTCCAATTCCAAGAGAGCTGCATGGACATTGGCATGAAATCTCCTCTACAAAATATAATTTTAAAAGTTATAAAAAGGGAAACTAGACTGGTTATCTTGTCAACGTTATATTTAGCTTTTGCCAACGTTGCCAATAGAGTAACCCGTATGTTGAAAAGAACTTGATCCTCACCATTGCAATGGCGCATGTTGTTCATACTCAGTTCTAATAAACGCCACATTTAAAAAAACGAGGAAAAAGAGGTAAAATCTGTTTCTCTAAAGAATGAATAATCCATAATTAAACATATAAAATAAATAAATGAACCATTTTCATATTATTCCTTTATGCTACTCAAAACTTGTGTTCCAGATTGATTCCTAGGTGTTGTATATAAATAGTCTTTTATTATTTAGACTTAAATGTAATATTTCCATAAAAAAAACCCGCTTAATACGATGTTTCGTTAGCAAACAGCTAGTATGTTTAACAGTAAACAAATGTATTGGAACATGTCACATGCTGAATTCATACATACCAGAGACGTCTAACAACCATTATAATTATACTAATATTAATCCCTGTGAATTCAATAAACGATCATTGTTGGAAATCCTAAATATTTTGGGGGTATATTGTTTTAATCATGCAATTCAATATTAAAAGTTATGCGTTTTCTCTTAAATAATTGATTGTAAATAAGCTAATCATAGATACAATTTCTGTATTCTTTAAATTTTAAGGCCATTTTTCTCTATTCTTTATACTTTTTGCCCATTATTCTCTAATCTATATATTTTAGCAACTCATTATTCTCAATTCTTTATTTTTTTGGTCACTTTTCTCTATTCTTTTTATTTTTTGCTTATTATTCTCTATTCTGTAAACCCCCATCCACACCCTCATATGTACATTCCCCTCTTATTTTTACCGTAAACAAATTTAAGCATTCACTAAATGTTATTTAACGATAAACGTACTAAAAAGAAAAACAAAGATTACAATAATAATTTACCAGGTTTTGTAGTCGTTGGTGGTGTAGTTAGCGTCGTTGATGCAGATACAGTTCCAGGATTTTGAGTTGAAGTGGACGTCGTTGATGCAGATGTAGTTCCAGGATTTTGAGTTGTAGTAGACGTCGTTGAAGGAGATGTAGTTCCAGGATTTTGAGTTGAAGTGGACGTCGTTGTAGGAGATGTAGTTTCAGGATTTTGTATTGTAGTGGACGTCGTTGAAGTAGATGTAGTTCCAGGATTTTGAGCTGTAGTGGTTGTCAAAGTTTGATCTGTAGTTATTTAAAGGAATTAAAGTAAAAATATATGATATTTTTCAATAGTTAAATATGACAGAAGTGAGAATCGAGACCATAAGTTTTTGAAAGAAAAACAACATAATAGTAAGAAGGAAATAAAAGAAAAACGACATTCAATATTCCATATTACATTAGACAAAAACTAAAGATCGAGAAAAATAAATCTGAACAAACCAAGAAGTTCGTGCTCAACTATTGGTTATTTAGAATAGCAAACGATCACATGACTTGATAACAACTTATGATCTATTACCATATAAAAACTACACTTAAAAATAGCTCGTCATTAACATCGATTTTTCAGATGATTCATTTTTGAATGTTGATACATTTTCGCATTTTACAGCAATGTCAAGAGACGTTCTGATTGATTGATTGATAGGCGTTTTACGCCATTTTCAACACTATGCCGATTTTGCTATTTCGTGGTGGTCAGTTTTATTGGTGGAGGAAGCCGCAGTGCCCGTACAGAACCATTGACTTTCGGTAGGAAAACTGACAATCTTTGTTAATGAAGATTTGAGTCGAGTGCAACTGCCACGTGCGGGATTCCAACTCACAACCTCAGTGTTGACAGACTAGTAATACAGTAGTTTGACTGATAAGACCATTCGTCCTCCGAGGCACCCGACAAGAGAAGTATAAGCAATAATTACCACTAGTAACTGTAAGTGTGATTTCCTGACTTGTTCTATTCTCGTAACTATTCCCTGCTCCACAAAAGTAAATCCCATCATCTTCAAATATCACATTATATATTGTAAGAGAATGTTCTGACAACGTTGATCCGTTATATTTCAATATGTTAGCCATATTAATTTGATGTTCGCCGGTCCCTTTTTGCATACTCCAAGTTACTTTGGTAATGTCTGGTCTTCCAGTAATATTACATTTCAATTCAACATCATTGCCGTAAACAACTGTGTAATAAGTAGATGACACTGTCAGCGAAACTGAAATAATACATAAAAAAAAATAATCTCTAAGCCAATCTGAGGAAAAAGTTTTGACAGTGTAAGGTCAGACTATCCAGTAAAAGAACGGCAATTTCAAATCATTTTCGTAAGTAATTCTGTAATGAGAAGACGAAGCAGTCAGCGAAGCTAAAATAATAGATTGTCCTAAATAAAAAAAAGACTCACGCTGACACACTCACTTTTCTTTTGACAACAAAAATACTCACTTCCATACATTTGTATATAAACTACAGTACTTGACGATTTCCCAAAGATGTTTTCAGCTGTACATATATACCGGCCCGTGTCCGTAAAATCTGCCATTAAGATATCTAGTGACGGAGAAGTTACTGAAGATCCAAAATATTTTCCTAAGTTGTTTTCATCAGATGAAAAGATTTTCGTTCCAGCCTCGGTTGTAATATTCCACTCTACGGAGGTGATATTAGGAAAGGCTTTTATGCTACATTCTATGGTATGTCGCGTTTGGTATTCTGCTACAATCGGTTCTCTTATCACTATTACAATAGGCCTATCTGTAATGATAACGCAATAAAATCAGGTACTCCCAAAATGTTGCCATTAAGTTATGAATTAGAAATATTTCATTTTAGTAAACATCAGGTGTATTTTAACCACTAATACGCAAAGGTATCATTACTGTGCCAAATATGACGTAATGCCTATGAGCGTCGACATTTGTATTTCAAATCCACCGAATTTAAAACGGAGAAAAAGACCTTTTCCGGTGCTTATGGCACATTGTTATGAAATAACCTTTTAAACTGCAACTGTGCTTTTTGCGTAGACACATATGCATTAATTGTATTAAAATTGACCCAATACTGTCTCTGACCGTATTTGTTACGTTAAAATGTGTTTATCTATGAAGTCGTGATATAATGCAGGTTGCCGGAATTTTAGAAAAGTATAAGTGATTTTTCAGACCTACGTAACGTATTATTGATGAAAACTGATTAAACTGATTTGGTATTTCAATTTTGCTGATTCGATCCGGCGCCACTGAGGAGACTAAAGTAGAAGAAACGCGTGTCTTGCGAACCAAAATCACCAAGCTTGGTATCTTTGATGAGTTTTAACAAATATAATTTAGCTCTTGATTTAAAATCCGAAGGATGATTTTTTATTTGATTGACTGATTGATTGATTGTTGGTGGTAAACGCAACTTTCGACAATTGACTATTAGTCCCTAGGGAAACTACCGCTCAGTTGTACACACTTCGGTACTAATATGATTTTAATAACAGATCTTGAGGATACATTTGTAGTTCTTTTTGTGATCATAATAAAGTTGCAACTTTCTCAGTTAAAGTTTCGATAAGACCATTTTGACTGTTCTGTTTATGCGGTTAAGCCAATTGTTCAATAACCAATATTCCGATAACCCATTGGTCCGGCAAAACATTCGTTAGAAAGCGTATGTTTAAAATGAGAAGTTGAAAAGGTATGTTAAAATTAATTACCTATGTTCAGTGATATTGGGAATTTAAGACTAAACATTTCATACTTAACAAAGTACACTAACTAAAATCGGCATATAATTCTGTCATTTACTCCGAATACAAGAGGCTTTTAGATACATGTACATGAGACAACAATCTAACGACAAAAAAACCCCAAAAAGAATATATAGAGGGTCAAATAGTCTGCATCAACAGACAGGCGTCTACTAGTATATGCTAAGCTCTAAATCGACCCAGGTCTATAAAAGTTGTCAATAAATTAAACAGAAACTATCAAAGATTTTCCCTCATCACAAAATTCACTATCTATATTTAATAAACTTTGAAACAATTTCTATTACTATTCATTTGATAACTCATTTACGATTGGACAACATTGAAAAAAATTAAATCGGCAAATGAGCTAAAACCTCCATACAAAAACAACTTGTTATAAAGTGCAAAGTGACAAATATGTTTTACTCTTACTAATCTCAGGTTATAACTATGTTCATAAAAATCCAATGAAACATCACTCGATTGATATTTCTCAAAATACTTGCAGATATTTAGAAGACAAATTTTCTCCCAATTATTTAGATTTTTCAAAATATGCCAGAGAAATGTATTCACTTGAACTTATTCTTTCTATAGATGATTGTTCGATATGTTTATGGTATCAGAGTTGATATGTTTAAAATTCAATCTCAACCATTAATATAAAAATAAACGACTCATACTCAAGGAAAATCTCTTTTTTTCCAGGACATAAATTGCAATATACAGGTCATGCATCACCTTTATATAGAAGTTCATTATATTTTATCTCATTGAAATCAGGGTATTGTAAGTGCAGAGATCTAAATTTTGTTATTCCAAGCATTATAAAGAGTGATACCTCTGGAACGACAAAAATAAAATGTTCGAAAGAGAAATAGATACATTTTTTTATTAGAAAGCCCTTACAACTTTTCCAAATTACAAAGGTTATTTTCCAGATTAATTCAAGTTATTATACAGAAATATAGTAGCGACGCACCAACGGACGAACGGACGACCAAGAGTATTATAGTGATCAAACAAATAAAAAAAATCTTACTTGTCAAATGTTTTCAAATTTCCTTGACGTCATTAACCTATATTTAATCACGGGGCTGTACTTATTCATTGTTTTATCGGATTAATGCGTTAAAGTGTCGGTCAAATGTTTTTTTTTTTTTCATTCGAATTAATAACACATCGTACTAATAGGCACTCACAATAATGGGTTGCCAGATTGAGTGTCAATTTGACTATTTTGAGTGTCTGAATGTGTGGTCGGACTAATAAGACGACCTATTTATTTATTATCTTGCTTTTCAAAATTTTGGGGTCAACCATTTTCCTAATGGAAGTTATTCATTTATTAGTGGGTCATTTAATTAGCATTTTCATGTAAAATAAAGATTATGTGCTTTATATATATCATACACTGTACATCTGTCTTGATGTTTTTGATTTGCATCATTGGCTTATTGTCCACCGAATTACAATGTGTATCCCCCCCTTTTTTTATCACACAGCTGATTAAGTATTTTCTACATGTTATAATAAAAATATGCTTACAACCGACTAAGATGTTGTTTCCACACACTGACGAAATTGTTAAAACTATACTGTTTTTTACACAGCATTGATAATTCCCTGAATTACAAGTCGTTGCATTATAAATTATCAGATCTGGATTTAGTATAGGTCCGATCATATCATCTTTCAAACCACACTCTGAGTCGGTACTCCATTTGACAAACGTAACAGCAGGATACGTTACGTATGAACAGGGAAGTTGTATTTTCCCTCCAACTTCAAACTCATAAAGAATAATTGATTCTTTGAAAACAGGAGCAGCTTTAAAAATACAAAGAGAAACAATATATTTATACTTTTTATACTTTTGTAATACACATATGCTTACCTTAATGTATATTTTGTATATTTTTAATTTTTTTGTTTATGACAGAGTTCTCGAAACATGGTGGTCCGAAGGTTTATACCACCAAAATTTTGCACAGAACCGACACAATTTTGGTACTTTAAAATATGAATGATAGTCAGGACCAGCAGATTTTCTTCAAAGACCATCAAAGAAAACAAAATTCGATAACTTTATGAAATGAATGGGAAGCACATAGTTTCAACAATTAAAAGGGGGAGGGTGGAAAACTTAGAAACTTTTTTGGTTTCCCCAATATTTTTTGTATTTGCCATTAGATTTTACAAAAATAAAACAAACTTCACAGGCTTTAAAGTTCCAATACCTAAAGCGTTCGCAGACAATTTTTAGATTTTGAAGGTAAAAAGACAATATCCCCTTTACATTTCCTATTTCATCACCTTTGCATTACTGAAAGGAAATCACAACCTTGATTTTCATTGCATGCAAAAATATTTTTTACACATTAAGTCTCGAATAACATTGTTTGCATTTAAATGAAATAACGGTTATTAATCCTTTTCGGAAGAACTATTTTATACAGATACTTATTCAAACATGCTGTTTGAATGCTGTTGTAAATCGGCATGTGTTACGGTATTGATACTTATGATTTATTTTCCAAAAAGAAGTGGTAGAAATTTAATTTTGGTGTGTTAAATTTTGGCAAACGAAGAAACAACTTAACTGAAAGTTATTGATACATTTGTTGTTAACGGCTTGTTAATTCGCACTTATTAGTCAACACTTCTGTGTTGACATGATTTATCATTGATATTGTCATATTTCTAAATTAACTGTTTACAGAACTTTGAGTTATTCGAAATACTAAGGATTTTCTACACCAGGAATATATTACCTAAGTTGTTTTTGGCAAAACCTTTCGGTATTTTTGGCCTTCAATGCTCTTCAATTTTTTTATTTGCCTTTTACCTATTTTGATTTGTTGCCTGATGAGTCTTTTGTAGACGAAAAGGGCGTTTGGCGTAAAAAAAACTATAAACCTGGTATCTTTTATGAGTTTTTATTTTAAATATTTTATTTTGGCATTTGGAATAGGCAGAATGCAAAATTCAAATATATAACAAAATAAAATATTACGCTGCTGTCTATCTTTGGTAGAGTGTCCTTTGATACGGTATACTTGTTTTCTATTGATTTGGTTGTACGTTTTTGTTACCTATAAGGATAAGTGTTTTTCTTATACTAATTTTTGTCGTATGTTCATTTATGTTATACCTTTTGATCAGTGGGCTAACTAAATAAAAGAATATACAATGAAATTGATGAAAATGTGGTGCGATCTGAAACACTTACTTTAATCCCGCCTCAAATGTTTTTTTTGTTTTGTTATTTGGTACATTTAGAGCTCCATATATAATTTGTAGACACCTGTATACCGTTGAAAACTTTATGTTGACTTCTTTATCATGTATTTTGCTTATTTTGCTTATTTTGGGTTGTTAGATTTCTGTCTCATTGATATATCCCTTAAGTCTCCTTTTATTCATGCTTTTATGAATGTGAGGAAGAAAATAAATATTTTCATTAAAATTATTAGATATTAAAACTAAGAGAGTCAACGAAGGTTGACATTTTATCAACATATAACTGTACCTTATATTGTATAACAACTGTAACATACCTATCTTTAATATTTTGACTTACATACAATGAATATTTTGTCTCGCCATGAAATTGTGAGCGTTTCTTGTTTTTTTCTCAAATATTTTTCATGAAAAGTATGAGGTTAAAAAAAAAAAAAATGAATATATAATTTCAAGTTGAAAAATCATTATTCTCACAATACAAATCTGTTAAAAGTAATTCCCATATGTAAGCACTTTGTATAATTAAAGAACTTTATAAGCTCACGTAAGAATTACATTGTCTTAAATAAAATTGAGAATGGAAATGGGGAATGTGTCAAAGAGACAACAACCCGACCAAAGAGCAGAAAACAGCCCAAGGCCACCAATTGGTCTTCAACACAGCGAGAAAATCCCGCACCCGGAGGCGGGCTTCAGCTGGACCCTGAACAAAAATGTGTACTAGTTCAGTAAAAATGGACGTCACACTAAACTCCGAAACATATAATAGAACTAAAATTTAAAAAACATACAAGACTAACAAAGGCTACTTTTTCTTCTGGTCTTTCTCTTTGGTAGCGAACACATTGAAACAGATCTTCCTTTGAGCATAAAAACATAACTTGACAGTTTTTTTAAACAGATGTTTATCGATTATCAGAACAATGAAAAACAATGCCAATTTATTTTGTCCAAACTAGTGCAAAGGAAAATTGTAAATCAAAATAAATAGAGGGAGGTTTAAGCGCCAGCAAACATGTTGCACCTCGTCACATTCTGTATGTGCTTGACCCAAGTCAACCGACTAAGAACTCCTATCCAGATAAGTTCTAAAGTTACACAACTTTTAAAACCAGTTGAAGCTATCTGGGGCCTTGTTCAAACAATGTTTTGTGCATAAAACTTTTTATTGAGATATGTTTAAACCATCGTAAACCCATCAAACAATGCATTTCTATGACTTTAATTTTTTGTTTAAAAAGTGCTTCTTAAACTATCAAAATTTTGAAATGCCCACTTTCCAAACTTTTTCCTCCCTCAGCTCATTGCTGATAACCTTTGTTTTGCTCCACTTGACCTCAACAGGAAGTTGTCTAAGTAACCGTTTTTCCCGGATTTGACCAAATAGCGATAAGGTGTATTCCGTGGTTGTCGTTTGTTGCCGTATATCATATTTGTTTTTCGTTTATTGTTTTGTAAATATATAAGGCCGTTAGTTTTCTCGTTTGAACTGTTTTACATTTGTCATTGCGAGACCTTTTATAGCTTACTATGCGGTATGGATTTTGTTCATTGATAAAGGCCGTACTGTGACCTATAGTTGTTAACTTCTACGTCAGTTAGTTTTTGGTGAAGAGTTGTCTCATAGGCAATCCTACCACATCTTCTTATTTTATATGAGAGTATTAACATAGATGTATTTGCATAAAGATTGCACAAGCTGTATAATTTCCTGCAATGACACTACAATGTAAGATGTAAGTCTCGTACTTTCCATATGTTATAGCGTTGTTCATAATGTCGGATGTGAATAGAGATAGTTTGTATCTATCTCTATCGACTTATATTGATAAGAAAAATAACCGCTTTTTCATCTTGAGAATTCGTGTTCACCCCCGATTTTTGGGAGGTTTGTTTTTTAAGTTAGTTTTAGCAACCATTTCTTTTCGTCCTTTCATATTTTTGCCATGCTGTAATCGATTATACAAATTATATTTTTTGTATTGCTCCCTTTGTTGTCTTCTTATTTCTTGAATAGTTATTAGGCGATTCTAATTTAAATAAATACCTTCGTGTAACCCAACGTCAATGGGAGGACCAGATCCTGGTTCCGAAGCATAATCCGTGGAAGCTAGGCACTTATATTCCCCAATATCATCTGGCATGATGTTATAAATTATTAATGAAGGCGAAGCTACTGTAGATCCACCATACTTCGCCAAATTTGTATTTGTAACATTTTTTACTCTATATGAATTATCAAGTGTATTTTGAAATAACCATTCAACCTTTGTAACAGGGTCGTTGGAATCATGTTTACAGTTGAGTGTAACATTGCTTCCGATGTCTTCAGCATAGGTAGCTTCAGTTGAAGTAACAGTTGGAGGTTTGAAGTCTGTTCAAAAAGGATTTTTCAGAAAAAAGCATACATGTAGTGATTAATTTTAATTATTAATTGAAGCTTTTATAATAAATTATGTTATTACTAAAATGTATAACAAGTACGAAGTATATGCGTGTTGTAAACCAAAGTAAAGTAATCCGTTTCTTACTATAGTCGATGCCCTTTTAAGAATTAGCATCACGAGGAACGTTTAGATCGAGATAGTTTGATTGAAAATTGTACGCTTATAATCCAGTTGCAAATATGTCATGCATATTCATGACGGGAAGAAAATAAAGAAAAAAAAAAGTAGATATGTTCTGTAAAGAATGTCGACTTGGATTTGAGAAAAAAGTTTTGATTGCCAATTTAAGAAACTGCATGTGGGATAAAAAACAGAAATTCGGCGTAACAACATGTCACCTATGTATTCCTCAAATAGTTGTTACCAGGTACACAGTGAGCGTAGCTTGAGACAATCTGTTAAGGAAAACCACATCAGAGTAATAGTAACAAATGGCCTTAAAGAATTACCAAAACTATCGACATCTTCGTTCAACTTTATTCTGATTTGTTTGCTACATTAGAAGAGTCGGAATCAGGGTTAGAGAATACATTTCTTTATATTTAGATGACTTGCAAGATTTTCTAGATCTGCAAATGCTAAAGGTTTAGAAACTATCTAGAAAATGAATTGATGGTTTATTTCAAAATGTTTATTTTATTGTATGCAGACGATGCAATTTTGATTTCAGAATCAAGTGAAGATTTACAATTGATGTTAAACGATTTTTTTTTATTATTGTAAACAATGGAAACTGAAAATAAATGTACAGAAAACCATAGTAATGATTATCACAAAAGGTCGACTATCAAAGAATTTGAATTTTAATATTTATAATCATGAAATGGAGATAGTAAATGAGTATAAATATTATTGAATTATATTTTCGAAAAGCGGCTCATTTTTAAAGACAAGAAAATATTTACAAAAATAGCTACAAAAGCAATGTATGGGTTTTTATCTATTATTTGAATGTCAAGCAGATATGTTCGACAAAACTATTTTACCGATACTCTTTATGGTCGTGAAATTTGGGAGTTTGAAAACTTGGGAGTTACTCGAAAGAGTTCATTTGTGATTCTGCAAACTTATACTTCATTTTAAACAATCTACCCCAAAGCTTATGATATACAGATATCTGGGTAGATATC